TCCTTTCCCGAGGTTGTTGACAAATGCAACCGGTGACTGGCGGCCACAGACGCGGTGAAGTGCAGAGCGTCCACCCGGAGTGGGTCAGCGTGAAGGCCGCAGTGCCATCATCGCTTGGGTCAAACACTCGCAGCGCTTCGAGTGTCCAATTGACATATCACGAATAATATGTCAGGCACTCCCTTCTGACATACCAATCAAGTAGTCTGGCAAGTAACCAAAACATTATAATATTCGATTTCACAAGACGTGCACTAGTGCCCGGCAAAAGTTGAAGCAAATGAGCACAATGTATGAACTAAAAAGACAAAAGACGCTGGCTAATGGACTAGCCAAATGAAGTGGAAGCATCGGGCCTGATTAGAAACAGACGTGACATTCAACTGACGCCGCTGGAAATAATTCACAGTTACGTAATGATGTATTCGCAAGGGAGGAATTAATTTGTAATATTAATGAAACTATGGCTAAAAACAGGGCCAAGTAGACCATAGGGGAGGGGATGTGCCGTAAGGCGGAGACGGGAAGGCGCTCAGGAAAACTTTGATCGCATTTGCAACTAAAAAGCTACCGTGAAACTGATTGTCATACAAGTTGGTCTCTGACGCCTCTTATTTACCGATAGATTATTTATGTTGTATACATATAATCTGTAACATTAATTTCGGAAAGAACGTCTGTATTCTACTCTATACTATAGAACTCTACTTAGGATGTTCCTATATTTTTACAACAGTTTTGATGATACAAATTAAATACGATTCGAAACGGAATAAGGACACCGTTAGTATTCAGTGTGGTGGTATTTTGAAAAATATAGCAAGGATGGACGATGATTCCACCACCGAGACGGAGACGTAACACTGGCATCAGCAGTCATCGGCCAGTGAACCTGGTCCAACGTCTAAAATATAGGTAGGTGTGAAAATACCAAATATTTTAAACGCGTTTCTTCCCATTTTCAAAATAATGTTCGCACAATGCAACGCGAAAAAACTTTCAAAACAAAAGAGTATTTTGACGATAAGTCAGGAAAACGTGATATCCATCATCAAAAGCGGACTACAATAAAACGTAATAAACTATTTGAAAGAGAGAGCATTCTGCTCTCTTGAAGGACGGGGACATTACTTTCAATAACATAAAATACGAGTGAGTAAAAGACTAAAGAGTAAAAGAAAAAATAGAAAATACTCTTTTATGTGGTTGGTATATCGTCTATGCAAGAGCGGTCCAAAATAACACGGCCAGTTGTAATCGTCGAAGCACCGAGCACGCACCAATCACATGACTGGAGCAAGGGATACTTCCCATCGCGACGTCTGGCGCCCGCTGTTGTGGCTGTGCTCAGCGAGGCTTCTTTGTAATGGACTTCACTAGCCTTAACCACTCTTTCCAAGGGAAGTCAGGCGCGCGTTTTTTTCCTCGGGTTAAACAACTGCTAAGAATATATGCCATTTCTTTGTGATTTCGCTCAAAATGGAAACGAAAACAAATTGTATAGTGACAAGCAAGTTAAAAGCATAACTTAAGAAACGAGAAAGGTAATTGCGCAAACAAAAAACATAACGAGCTATAGTCCTCGAAAAACATATAAATCTGTCGCTTTATAAGTAGAATGATAGCAATATTTACATAATGTGGCCGTGATCTGAAGAGGCCAACCGCGTGGGAACCGCGCCTCGCCGGCCGGCTGCGGCTGCGAAGGCGTTGCGACACTGGCCCATCACTGCTCACCATTTTTGCAACCACTTCGGATTTCTCAACTAACCACTTCAAAACCTACCTACCACTGCTACACAAGACTTTTGATCTGCAATCCGAGTTAATTTGCTGATGTCCGCACATGTGCAATGACAAATCGCACCGAGACGTTTTCGCAAATGTGCATTTGCTGTTTCGAAAATATTGCTAAATATCATTTGAATTTACGCTTTGATAATTGGCGTTGCAATCGTCTCAAATTCGCTATCGAAACGTTTTGATGACAAATATTTACGTACACGTACTTGCGGTGTGTACTTCGTCTCTGCGTACGGACGGCGCATCAAACTAACCATTGGCGGATCTTGTTCGGATACACTACGAGCTACACTTGAACAACAATGTATAGCTTGATGTGCAGTTGACGTACCCGTCCTAGACACAATAGAACACAATACAATACAATGTGTACTTCAACATTTCACGTACTTTGGACCATACATGGACCATATCCACACTCATAGAATCTTATATGTATGATTTGCACAAGGTCCTCATATTCTATATTGCGACCTCCTACGCGTCAAATAAATAGCTAGATAGTTATATACTAAAAAGGGTTCAATTTAAACGTCTCGCAGAAAGAGCACTTGATCTCTTTAAAAATGAGCCGGTCTGTTGTGGCCTCGTCCGATACACAACGCAACGATGAAAACCTATGTGATGTTTGCCCGACAGCATATGACAAATAATCACATAACACTTTTGCTCGCTGAATGACCACGTAGTGAATAGGGGAAGTCATTTTATCTCTATTGAGCGGAGTGAAAATATTTTTTTAAATAAAGATTGTATCTCACATGTCTCTTAACTTTTTACGATGAAAGAGGCTTGTATTTATTCTTCTACATTTAATGTTCCGGATGGAATTTTGTTTGCTCAGTACCTAGGGTAAAACCAGGATAGATGCCGCAGTGGGACAGGTGAATCGTTTTCAAAAAACCTAATTTCCCCAAATCGCAACAAAGAATAATTAGTTTAAATAAGAATATAGACACCGCTCATCAAAGTTAAGCAGGGCTTCGTGAGGAATAGATGCGATTAGCTTGTGCATGCGTTTATGCGTTTATCTCCGCGAAGAACACGACAAACGGTTCAAAATTTCAGGCGCAAGTATTTACTGTCGCATAACTTACAGTGAAGTGAAGTTACAATGAATTCCGTTTCGCTCTTATTATAACTATACACTGGTTCATTAACTATGCACCCAGGTGTCAATAACAGCTCTTTTGTATATAGCTTAGTTAAATAATAAAAGGGCATCTATCCATATCGAATAGGATAGTGGGCTGCAATTTTCGCGGTATAGGTTAGGGGCAAAAACAAGATAAGAAAGTTAGGAAAAGAAAATATAAAAAATACATCATTTTAGTCCAAAAGACTTATTTTTTAGTGAGAAAGAAGTATATGATAATAGTTTTAAAGTAAATAAAAGTATCAAAAAGACAAATTATTCGCAGTTCAAACAGCGAACATTTTTGTATAGAATGTTTTGACAGCTACAAATATGAAGTGAAGTAGATAGTTAGTTTAAATACGTATATATTTATTATTAAATATGTAATATGTATATACAATATATTAAAGATTACAAAATATTTACAAATTATTCTAAAGAGCAAGTATCTTTCCTTGTACTTTCATCGTATGGCGTCTATCCATATAGGTAGGCATTTATCCTCAATAAAAGAGGTTTGCAAAAGTCAATTTCTTCAAAATCAGTAAATATTAGATCAATAAAATCAAGTCTTAATGTAATGTAAAACTAATAATTTTTAAATTAGGAGGACCTTTCAAAAAGTGGGGCATCTATCCCGGTTTTACCCTGCATATAATCACAATGTCTTTTGCTGAAACTACGTTATGGAAACTTTCCGGGTACGCTCTCGATTGAGATGTACGTTCTCGTTAATATTTACAACCGATTCTTATTCGACATGCATGTTTCAGACAATTAAAGCGTCGCAATGTACAAAGCTAGCTCCATTTATAAACAATGCACATTCTATATTTTTAAACTGTGAGTGGAACTTACCCTTCGGCGGTTGAGTCAACTAATGCTAATTCACCATCCAGCTGATACGAGTTGTCAAATACCCTGGCCAGCTTTCACACAGATATTTGAATTCTTATTTCGTTTTCAATGATTATACTTCGGGGGCTGATTACTTTTGGCTACTTGGTTTGAATATTACTTGAATAGATTCTTGCCATTTTAAATCAATCGTAATAAAAACTTCAACAATAACAAATTCATTAAAACTTTTTCCATGATTGAGTCTTAATATGATTATAATAATAAAAATAATCATTTGTTTCGAAATCTGGTATATCGATTATTAGTAAATTACGAAAAGCTATATGAGAATAAAAGTGTTGTACCCCTGTACTTTGTTTTAGTAATTTACACAATAGAACTAATGTTGGCAAAGTGCGCTCTGAACTTTTGGAGGAGCCAGAGCAAACAATAGAGCATCGACAGCGCGGCGACTACATATGACGTATTATCGCCGACACGACGCCGCTCCGAGACCGGTACGACACCGATACGTCGCCAACTTAGCTCCGTGATACATCACCCCTACGTGTCGAACGCGTTAATCACCTACGCTATCACCACATAATTGCAGTGCTTTATCAGAAACAAGCTGCTAGTAGTATTCGATCATTGTTTTTAACAAAATTACAGTGAGTATATGAATAGTCCAGTCTTGACATTAAAAACTGTCTATACCTACGTGACAGCGTAAATAAATCCCGGGCTAGAAAAAATAACGTCGAAGTTTAATAATTAGTTATAAAATTATTTGCAATTCAATAGCGAATAGGTAAGTAACTAAACGATTTCTTAATACAAATGTCACGCGCTGTCTACAAATGTAACCGTAAATGTCCTAGTTAGTAGCCCAGACTTTTGAATAACATTACTGTATTATTTTATAATTGTCTCTAAGATTCAAATTTCATCTATCAGTTGCACAGTGACGGCGAACTTCTAGAGGAGTCGACCGCTCCTCAAATTCATGCGAATTGTAGTACCTACTTCTAAGTAGAACTTTGCGAGCATGGGTGACAGAATTGTCTCTAGGCATTGATCTCTCTTGTACTCTCTTTACTCTTATATCGAAAAAAATCGAAGATTGTGTCTGTCGACGAAAGCTTTGGAATATTTTTCTCTCACCCCGAAGGAAGTCAGCGCTCGCGAGTCAGGTGCGTGCATAAGAGTAGGGACTCACTTGAGGGGAGACGCCGAGCATCTTGAGAGAGGGGGGCACGTTGGCGAGCTGCGCGTGCGGCAGAAGCACGTGCCCGAAGTTTACTGTGAACGCCTCGCACCACACGCCGAAGTGGCCGATGTCGAACACCGTCAGCTCCTGCACAATTCGATAGTGTACATCGTTTCAATCGTGTCTTGTATATTGTCAAGGCTATTTCCCAGTGGTGCGCCATATATTATCTACTTTCACTTACTGCGGTACTGAAACTTGAATTTTGCTTTCTACATTCGCATCGATGCATAATCGCACCCATACATGCTTACACTCACGCCTTCGGATTCCCATTCGAGTAGACCGACGCTATCGGTCGCCACTTTTCACGATCTTGGCTATGCTTACGTATTCAATTGTTTGTGTTCTATACGTACGCCGGGCAGAGTGAGCACGATGGTCTTCTTGTCGTATTTTCTAAGCGGCGCTTCCTTGCCGTTCTCGTCGGGTATGCGGATTCCTTGCGGAGAGGGCTTGTCCCCTCGCCCCACCCAGAACTTCGCATCTGTAACGACACATAAAGTTGCAATAAATATTAGTGTCCTTTCATCTCAAATTAAACCAAGAAACGGAATACTGCAGATATCGAGGCAAATAGTACACATATGTGCAGGGAATGGCGCGCTGTTATACGACCATGTGGTTAAATAAATCACGAATAATAACTACTTTAGTAAAGTAACCACAGTATACGTGTATTATTATTAATATTGGATTTATTTTAAACTCACGCCTCTCCCAAGGCCTAAAAGATTAATTTTGAATTTTTAAATGGGTGAGGCGGTATTTCCCGGCAATGGCACAGTCGGCCGGGGTCAGGGACTCAGGTCCAAGAATCGGCGAACAATACGTGCCGTATCGAGCAGGACCGCCTTCTGCATTTGTGCTGGAAGCGACACGCCACAGAAATCCAACCGCCTCAAGCTGTTAGAAAGGCTGACTGGAATTAACCCATTTGCGAACAAAACAATTGGGATTATTTCAGTGGAGGCCACATCCCACATGTCGGTGATCTCGTGCGCCAGGTCGAGATACTTCCGGCGTTTCTCGGTTTCAGCTTTCACGAGACCCTCGTCATGCGGGATGGTGACGTCCACAAGAAATACCCTCGACTGCGATCGATCCAATATCACAATATCAGGCTTATTCGCAAGAACAGTCCTGTCCGTGATAATAGATCGATCCCAATAGATTTTGGTGCGGTCATCTTCGAGTATTGGCTCCGGTGAATACTTGTAATATGGCAACCTCTGTTGCACTAGTCCGTACTTGAGAGCGAGCTCTTGGTGTAATATTATTAATATTATTAGGGTGGCTTCATTTGGGGCCTATAAGGTCCCTCATCACTGCGACCATTAAATGATCTATTGTGATCACCACTAATTACAGCTCGGAGCCAAGACCAACAGCATTAAGGAACTGAAGGACTTTCCTGGCTCCGACAGTTTTTATGTCCTTTGGGTGTGGCCTGTGCCTACCCAGTATAGAACTTCTTAGATATACGTGTAACCCTCATCTCAAAGGTCAGGTGGTGGGGTGACGAGAGACTTGAAACCTCGAAGGGAGTCAGTTTATCACAACAGACAAATAAATTATTTAGTATAAAAAATAATTACTAAAAATAAATCAAGTTTGACTGTTGCGAAATCCAGAGAACACGAGGTTATACATTACCTTTATACGAAATCCGATGACTGTTCCTCTTACCCCGTCATTTGGGGTAAGAGGAACGTTTGCACAATTTGCACGTTTTCGGCAAATATATCGTAAGTGTTGAATTTAGCGTAATGATTGTTAAAACACGTAAAGCTAAAAAACAAAGGCAAGTTCTCAAAATATTGTTTTGTAAATAAAGAATGTTCTCTTTACCGCACCTGACTATAGTTTATTAGCAAAATTTCTAAACATAAAACCCTTAAACAGAATTCGCTCAGTGTCTTTAACCTTCGTAGATGCGTGGGGCTTTGGTCTCTCATAGCGACGATTACCGTTTGGTGTGTTTTTTTAAAGGGAAAACGTTAGAGCTTTGGGCTCACTGCAGCTGCATGGTTCGCGCGTAAATTCATTTCAGCGTAACAGGAGTATTCGTGCATACAACACGTGTACCACGTGTACACGTGTACACGTGTACACAACACCGAACGATCCCTTAGACCGACGCGGGTCTAGGTGTCACAGTTTTAGGTAATTAATATATTCAGTAATTATTTTTAATTAGGTACCATTGAGTTTACATTATGTGTTATATTTGTAAATTATTTTAGGTTATATTTTATGACCTCAGTAATATGCATGAGAAGAAGGTTTTTGGAAGAGAATGACTCTGATTCCAACAATGAGGGCGAAAACAACAGTGACTTTGAGGATCATATAGAAGTCAAGCAAGTAAGAAATGACACGGTGTTCTGAAAGTGAGGAGAAGTTTCTAGTCTATTACCTAGGCAAAGATAGTCAAATTAAGTGGACTAAAAATGCTCCATCGATGACAGTAAGAAGTATTTTTGCGCAAGATATATACAATTTTTTTTGTATGCAACATGCTATTTAATTTGCGACTTTTTTAATTTTATATATAATCTTTGACATTTCAGACTTATTATTTTATTTTGATACTATAAAAAGCATATATTTTTTCAAGTTTTTGTGGCTCTTAAAAATATAATAACTTACCAATGGCTGTAATAAAAGACTGCGTAACAAAAAAATGTTATCTAATAAACAACGTATTAAAATGGCCCTCGAACTTTTGGTGTCACACAGCGTGCGCAGGTACATGTGCTAAACTATTTGGCGCGAGCATAGAAAGATTAAGCAATTGGATGTAAACCAAGCAGCAGCGACAGGATCACCACGAGAGCCGGCAGCGTGGCGTGTGGCGTACGAGACACGAATAACATCCGGCATGTGCCATACAGCACCACTTGTTGACTGTATCGCACCGACTTGTGCTCTCGCGGCGTAGTCGTCGTTGCTTTATCGTCTCGGGAGGAGATAAACAGCCGCTCGACATTACTTCCGCCTACATCCGCATTAGACACAATGCATACCTGTTGATGCTAAAGCCTCAGGGTACAATCCGAAGATGTATGGATATTGCAGATTGACAAAATTGATCGTAAATGTCACTTTTGACAGTTCTACGATAAACGAAAATTTCGGGTGATAGATAGCATTCGAGCGAAGGCATTCGTTTGATTTTTTGAAACGCTAACTTAATAAAAGGAATTCTTGGGTTCCCAGTACTGTACAGAATAACACGTCATGAGCACGAAGGCGAAGAAGTGGTCTCAATATGCAAAGGGACATAAGTAATGTTATGCAGCCGGTTCGAGTAGCATTTTAAATTGCGATCCAGTCAAGACCAAAGAAAATTATTATATCAATTCACTTCGATGGTGGCGTCTAGTAGGTCTTAAACAATCTTAAACTATAAAAAGTTAAATTGAGAGATCATATTTATTTGAAAAAATAATAAATAGAAATCGGTCATTCTTGGACAAGTGTTCGCAGTGAACACTAGTCCGAGAATGACCGAAATATATATGATGAATGATAGAAATAGAACGCATACTTCCCGATATGGTGGAAAAAAAATGTTTATACCGTTGTACGCGGATATATAATATTAATAACATATTGCTCTGAAAAAAAATTGCTCTGATCCTTTTGAAAATTAGCATGTGGGGGTCTCTATAGGTATTTGATAATAATTTTCGCTCAAAATTTATTTTTCGCCTGTTTTCAATATGGCTACATACAAACTTTTTTGGCGGTAGATAAAAATTTCTTCTGATTCGGCTGAAAATGGCATGAAAAATTTTGTTTCCACCGGTGTTTGATATAGCCGCCATATACGGGTTCTTTTTTTGTGTAAATGGCTGTTGAATAAATTTTCTTGCTCGGGCTGAAAATTGGCACGACAAGATTTCTACGATTGTGTGATAATCATTGGTGGTGAAAATATATTTACGCAATGTTTAAATAGGGCCGCCATTAAAGAGCTTTTTTATTTTTTAAAACAAAGTCATAAGTGCCGAGGCCATAGGCCGAGGTCCGCGGAGGGCGAAGCCCGAAGCGTCCGCACGCCATCGTACGAACTGTACGGAGGTAATATACGGAGGCGTAATAGATTACGAGTACAAGATTTTAAATATGTAAGATATTGTTAGATTGTAAACATGTAAGGCATACAAGGAGATTCTTATAATACCGTTGATGTATTTCGACCGTCTCTCTGTTAGATTCCTTTTTTTTGGAAACTATACCGAAGAGAAGTATTTAGGGGGAAAAAAACATCCGAACAAACTTCTGCCGAAATTCCTGTACTATGAATACTAGAATAACGATAACTCTGAGAGCAATACCCAGAATACTCAGACCAAAGCCAACTTAGAAATGTTCGTTTCTTAAATTGGCCCAATCGAACCTCCTCATCAAGCACCCATGGTACTAACCGCTGTGCCACCGAAGAGCATTAGCACACCCCGTAATCTAAACCCGACCACGCGCCGCAGGACGTGCCCGATCCTATCATATATGTATGTGTGTATGTATGTATGCATGTATATATACGATTCGTCGTCGTCATCTTCATGTTGCGTCCAATGCTTCCGGCAGCAGAAACTCTCACGATGTCTCACTCGAGAAAAATTTAGATTTTTTTCTGTGGAATTTGTACTGCTCAAAAAAGTATAGTAAAATGTATGTACACGAGGGACTTCTTTATTTAAAAACATTATCAAGAATAACTAAGTTTTAAGTTACAAACAAAATCATAAGTTAACAAGGCTTAACTGATATACAGAACCGTGTGTGAATGTAGTGATTACAAAAAAAACGTTATTTTTTATAGTGGAATTTATACGGTAAGAAATATCACTTTATCAAGTGCGAGTAGAAATTATTGGTGATACTGGAATCAAATCATTCTCGGAAGCGCTTCCTATAGGCCGAGGGATACCGCAGGGGTCTATATTGGGTCCAATCCTCTTTAATTTGTATAGCGCAGACTTACCAATTAACATTAATAGTTGTAAGCATCATATCTATGCGGATGACGTTCAAATATACTTATCCTTTAAACCTGAACACACATTATCTGCAGTAGCTAGTATCAACGCCGATCTTGAAGGAATTAGTGAATGGGCAAATAGAAACTGCTTAGTTCTAAACCCGCACAAATCAAAGTTTCTCGTTCTTGGATCTGCCCGTCAAATAGAGAGAATAAATGTTTTTAATCCCAGCCTTAAAATTGGAGGAACTGTAATTGATAAAGTAACAGAAGCGCGAAATCTCGGAGTTCTTATGGATAACACTCTTAAGTTCCACAACCATGTTGTAGAAACAGTTAAAAACTGCTTTTACAGACTTAAAGTTTTGTATCAAGTACGCAACTACCTGGATGTTGATCGTCGCATTATGCTCTGCGAAGCTTTGATTCTGTCGAAGCTGAATTATGCAGATACCGTCATTGGTGACTGCCTTTATGGCTACACTAAAAAGCTTATCCAACGTGTTCAGAACGCTTGCGCTAGATTTTGCTTTCCGATCCCGCGACGGGCTCACGTTGCCCCGTTTCTCAATAAGAGCAATCTAATGAATATGAAGACTAGGCACTCCTATCATTTTGCCTGCTTGCTTTTTGGCATTGTTCAGACAAAATCACCACTCTATCTGTACGATAAACTGACTCTTTCTGGACGTCCAACTAGATCTGCCCAGCGCTTTTTGAGTGCGCAACACAGTACAGCAGCGTTTCGTGGCAGTTTTCGTTATGCCGCCACGAAATGTTGGAATAATATTCCACCACCTTTTAGAAATTGTCACACTGTAAAATCTTTTAAATTTAGATATAAACAGTATCTTTTGAATCAACAGAAATTAACTTAGCCTGTGCTGTGTTGTATAGATGCAATATTGGCATTTACTTAGTGGGTTCCTATAATTTACTCTATTAATATTACATTATCCTGCAATACCAATGAACATTTAATTTAATATTTTTACCATTAACTGTTAAGTATTTTATTACATCATATTGAGTTCGTACTTGTCACCATATATTATATGGTTCGGCGTGTCGTTGCAGCGCGTACTGGTACTTCCTAACTGGCCGGTGTCTCCGGAAGACCAGCGTTGGGGTGTTGCAATATGCCTCGACTAATGCTGAGTAGACGTCGGTTTAGCGTTATACTTATATCTAGGCTTAAGAATGTAAAATTTGTAAATTGTAATATGGCATAATTATGACGCTAATAAACAATTTTTCTTTCTTTCTTTCTTTCTTTCTTTCAATACGGAAAATATAATTTTAAATTAAAGTACGTACCTTCCTCTTCAATAGTCATTATAGGTATTACAAAACTTTCACCACACATAAACACAATTGGATTGAAAGATTACGTTTAAACAGGAGCACTGAAATCGACTTTAGATCGATTTTTACTTAGAAATACTCCTCTGTGTGATGACTGATTGCCATTAGCTTAGAGACGTCTTCTCACCAATTATCTGCACCTGTCTATACGAGTTATTACAGTTTTATTAGAATTGCAACTACAAAATGTTATTGATTTCCTTATAATAACTGCAGTATCTAATAGATACTGCACTTATAATTAGCTCTAAAATGGTAGATTTTGTAAAACATAAATAAAATTAGAGCAGTAACTATTAGATACTGCACTTATTATTGGCTCTGAGATGGTAGATTTTGTAAAACATAAATAAAATTAGAGCAGTAACTATTAGATACTCCACTTATTATTGGCTCTGAGATGGTAGATTTTGTAAAACATAAATAAAATTAGAGCAGTAACTATTAGATACTGCACTTACTATTGGCTCTGAGATGGTAGATTTTGTAAAACATAAATAAAATTAGAGCAGTAACTATTAGATACTGCACTGACTATTGGCTCTGAGATGGTAGATTTTGTAAAATATAAATAAAATTAGAGCAGTAACTATTAGATACTGCACTTACTATTGGCTCTGAGATGGTAGATTTTGTAAAACATAAATAAAATTAGAGCAGTAACTATTAGATACTGCACTTACTATTGGCTCTGAGATGGTAGATTTTGTAAAACATAAATAAAATTAGAGCAGTAACTATTAGATACTGCACTTATTATTGGCTCTGAGATGGTAGATTTTGTAAAACATA